AGAGGATATCAAACTATAAGTAAATTTATAGAGGATATCAAACTATAAGTAAATTTATAGAGGATATCAAACTATAAGTAAATTTATAGAGGATATCAAACTATAAGTAAATTTATAGAGGATATCAAACTATAAGTAAATTTATAGAGGATATCAAACTATAAGTAAATTTATAGAGGATATCAAACTATAAGTAAATTTATAGAGGATATCAAACTATAAGTAAATTTATAGAGGATATCAAACTATAAGTAAATTTATAGAGGATATCAAACTATAAGTAAATTTATAGAGGATATCAAACTATAAGTTTCAAACTATAAACAATAAATCAGTATCATAATAAAAGTTCTTTAATTTCAAGAAGAAAAAAAAATTTCATAGAAAGTTGTGTGAAAGTCTAGTTAAATAAAACACGTCAAAAACAAAAATTTTGTTTCTCATGAAATACTTTAACACTTAAAAAAATTTGATTTTAACATTCAAATCGATATCATCTCAATTTTCACTTTAGTTTTTTTTTTAAATAACTTATTAATTATTGAAAAATAAGATTCAATAATTATAAAAAAAGGTAATCATATCATTATTTTTTTAGGCCTAATACATAAAACGATAGCTTGTTTAAATCAACATAAGTGCAAACATCATGCTAACTCATTCTGTTATAACTGTAGCTGTTATGTAGCTGATACACACTTGTTTGTTATAAATGGAGCTGCTATACACTTGTTTGTTAAAACTGCAGCTGCTATACACTTGTTTGTTATAACTGTAGCTGTTACCCACTTGTTTGTTATAACTGCAGCTGCTACACACTTGTTTATTATAACTGTAGCTGTTATACACTTGTTTGTTATAACTGTAGCTGCTATACACTTATTTGTTATAACTGTAGCTGCTATACACTTGTTTATTATAACTGCAGCTGCTATACACTTGTTTAATTTTACAACTTTTTAATTTCTTTATGGCATATATTAGTCCATAAACTTGCATTTTTTCATTATAACTGTAGCAGCTATACACTTGTTTGTTATGACTGTAGCTGCTATACATTTGTTTGTTATAACTGTAACTGCTACACACTTGTTTGTTATAAATGGAGCTGCTATACATTTGTTTGTTATAACTGCAGCTGCTATACACTTGATTGTTATAACTGTAGCTGCTATACATTTATTTGATATAACTGTAGCTGCTTTACACTTGTTTAATTTTACAACTTTTTAATTTCTTTATGGCATATATTAGTCCATAAACTTGCATTTTTTTAAAGTGAAAAAATGCAAGTTTAAGGTAAAGTAAAAAGAAGAGTTTATTAAAGAAGTTATTAGTAAAAAATAATCATTTTATACATCCTAATATTAATGTTTTACTCTTGAGTTTATAATACAAGAGGAGGGGGGGGGGGGCATTTATTAAATTTTGGAAAATTTTCCCACCCACCCTAAGCTTATTAAGACTCTCTACCTCCCCCCTTCCATCACCACCGTTTATTAATTTTTACTTGTTATCAACAAAAATTATATCTCATAACGGAAAAAAAAATTCAGTGGAAATCGGCCTTAAAAATTAGAAAATAATTATTTCAGTCACCAATAAAAACAACCCCCTTCCCTCCACTTCTTCATTTATTAGATCTTGACTAAAATTAACCACCCCCCAACCTCCTTTTATTCCCACCCCCTTGAATTAAAGACTCGAAAGTATATAAAAATAACAGAGAGCATTACACAATGAAATTCTCCAGGGTTCAGACAAACTACGATCTTAGGATGAAAATGAAAATACAAAAAAGCTACAATATTATAATACAATAAAGGTGTCTAGAATAAAGAAGATTCAGGGAAAATTTATAGACTCAAATCAACCTGGGGAAGCCAAGGAGTTCTTGATGTACTAATCTATAATGTATGTCATCATCTAGATTCTTATTTACAAAATTAAATTTATGCTGATAAGTTTAATTTTACTGCATGTTATATGTTTATATTTACAATATCAAAAAAATCTTGACAACCTGTAACCACACCTAAAACAATATTTGTGTGATTGTAACCACTCCTGGAGACCAAATATGCCCAGATTTGAATTACCCAATCTCAATTACTTATATTTAGACATACAACATGTCCCATCTAATTTAAAAGTCATCGAGATATTCCAGGACCACCCTTGACAACCCCTAAAATGACCACTTGTGTAGCCATGACCACTCTAAACTTAAAATGGAGCCTAAAAATGAATTCCTTGGCCCCAAAAACCTTAAAATATGTAGCATATGTAATATGAAAACTGATAATATTTGATTTCAACAAATGGTTGAACGATTGCCAGGTTTGTCCTTAATCAAAAAAACATGGTTTATGAAAAGATTTGTTAATGCACTGAAAACTGATAATATTTGGTTTTAACATATAGTTGAACAATTGCCAGGTTTGTCATTAATGAAAAAAAGCAGACAGTTTTAATGGGTCACAAACCTGCAATCTAATCAATGATGAAAAATTTGTCAAAACCATGGATGAAAATAGGAGAAAAAAACAACAACGCAATAGGAAACATTTTTGCAGTTATTAGTTGAGTAATCCTTGCAAAAAATTTTCTTGAATATTATAAAGCAATTGCATGACTCCACAGGTTTCAACATAGGAAACATATTTAATAGAAAATAGTAAGACACATTTTAGCTCCACACATGCAAATCTCAAAAACTAAAATAAAGTGACATCACAAGTTATTCCTTTAATCTTTTATACAGACTGCAAAAAGAGCAATATAAAACTTTGAACAATGCTTTTAAAAATAGTTTTTGTGTTGGAGTAAAATCTAGTTCAGGTAAAGTGTCGGTTTTCTCAAGCTAAGTTTGGCACAAAAACATCTGCATAATCAGATTTTTTTTTTTTAAAAAAACATCTTCTCAAGGCTGCAAGTAACCACTATTAGAGTTGGAAGTTACTGGAAGAGAAAAGATTAAGTTTATAAAGCAAGTAATCATTAACAGGCGACTTAAAAGATTGCAAATTATATGAATCAGAAAAACAAGATTAAAGCAAGATTAAAGGAGCAAACTTCAAAGAACTGATTTACAAGGAAAAAAACTAAAGGAATTAAAATTTTTGGTATGTGACTATTAAAATCTTTTTGAATTAAAGAAAGATAACAATCAACACTAAGATCAAAAGATGAGATAGCTGAACTCAAGTTTATCTTACAAAGAATAATAGGGTCTGGTGAACTTTGCAAGAAATAAGAATCAACAGAAGAAATGTAACTTTGAAGACCAGGAATATTAGTGAATGATAGAATTAGAGAGCTTGGTGGCGACAATCTTTTTTTGTGTTTTATATTGTGTTTTAGCTATTGATACTTTAGTCATTTTTTAAATTGGTTAAAGAAATTGACTCAAAGCACAGGTAGTATTCAGTACACTATCTAAAAGTCCAAATAATTGCTTCTTTACTATTAATAAACATTAAGCAGTAACAAAGGGCTCCAAATGTGGCCTTGACAATGCACAACAAAAGTATGACAACATGACACTGTTAGTATTCTGATATTTTACAGCTGTTGATGGAACCAACCTTTCTGAGAGTTACCACAAAGTTCGGGAAACCTGACTACCAGCTGGCCTCAGAACCATAAAACATTTTAGTGCTGTACCCTCATTAGGAGATAATATAATGAGTTGCTTAGTCATAGAAACATAGACACATACAAAACTCATGCAATGAGTCAAGAAGATCCAACATTTAATATCCTAAACTGGAAACAATTTATTATAAATACATATATGTCAGCCTAATAGATGAAGAAGGGGTGCAAAGCTGATTGACAGATAGAATCTGGTTACCCTTAAGTCATTGCATAGGAGGTCTTCTACAAGACAGTAGCTGAATGCATTTAACACCAGTCCAAGATAAGTATTTTTTTCGGGACACCATCTCTAGCGTTTACTCAACCAAGAATCCCAAGATAGGGGGGGGGGGGGTGTTAATCTGAGTTGGCATCTCCTAGCTTTTGCCTAAAAAAGTGTATCCTACAAGGCAGC